CCTCTGGTGTTCCAGGTGGCCATGGGCGACGCTGATTGCTTACCATCAGGTGTTCCGTCTGCTCGTTTACCGGCTTATGCCATAAAAAAATTGCAATATTTTGTTTATGTCTCTTTTATTCAAAAATCGATTCTCATTAACGTTTCTATACTAATTAGGCACACATATCCGAACAAAACCTTCTGCTTACATAGGTCCGCGTTAATAGCTAATAATCAGTCACAAATAATTAAACTCCTCCGAACGTTTCAAACGAAACCTTTCCATGAATTCCATTTTCAAACTACACCATAATTATTAGGACCATAATACATTATACTGAATCCGTTCTGTCCCCTTCATTTGTCACTGACATAGCTTCGGCCGACCAATTTTGAGCGCCAATAATTTAACCTTCCAGATGAGGGGTGTTGATGACGTCACACGGATAGGGTTGGCCGAGCCGACGATCCGTAAAGTTGTCTCATATTTGTTTGCGTAAAAAATTGTAGAGATTTTGCTTGGCGGTTATGATTGGTCTCTAGGGACGCGAATGTGATTTTTCGTGAGTATTTTTTAAGCAATGATATAATACCCATATTTGTGTACAAAAAGGTTTAATAACTCTAATTAGAGCGTAGCAAATGCAATGAACATCTCCCCTCTGCATACCCCATTGGCTATTAAAAAAATAGTAACGTTTATGTGAATACAAAAAGAAACATAATAACGACCAAAGAATGAAACTAGAAAAATACAACAAAACATCAATTTTATTGACATCGTCTGAAAATTGAGTTCTGATAGATGAAATTATTTCTAGGAAACAAGATAATATTTCAATCATGTCCGCTGGGAAAATTTAGGAGAATGTCTAGAGTCCAAAATATAATTTGGTTATAGAGTAGCTATCAAAAAGTAACAATCTTGAATCAAAACCGTCAGTTCAGTCAGTCAGTCGGTCAGTTATCGAAATAATTTTAGGATAGGTATTTAAATATTACCTGCGAACAATTTGTCTTTTATATACTTATTTAAGCAATTTATAGTCGATCAGTTTAAAATTCAGACCTATTAAGAAAATGAAAATGATGAGAGTTCCTGTAAAACCGTTGTGAGGTGAGGTGCACATTATGCCACTGTACAATGTAACACCCACTTTTCACTTTTTATGTTATGAGTCACATGTAATAGGGGGTGAGCCTATTGCCATATACTGGGCACAATTCCAGACTCTGTGCTACTAAACAGAGTTTTTTTTAAAACCCAGTAATACTTTGCCCGACCCGGGAATCGAACCTGAGACCCCTTGCCCGGCAGTCGCACTTGCGACTACTCGGCTAACGAGGCAGTCAATTTCTGAATATTAACAAAATATTATTATAGAACCAATATTGCACTATGATGACAAATCATTATTTAAAATTCATAGTTAAGTATACAAATTCAATAGAACGATTATGTCATAAACCAGATTATATTAAGCTCATTAATTAATAATATAATGGTTTTAAAATAATAATTATGTAGTGATAAATATTGATATTTATCATTTCGTCGGCAGCACTGCCCTTTGAACTAGAAACTAGACTATATAAATACACACACGCACATAATAACTAAATTTCTTTCTGTTACTTGAAGGTTTTTTTTTATATTTGATAGGCCGACGTTTGATCACTATCTTGCATGGTGGTAAGCGATGATGCAGTCTACGATGGAGCATGTCGTTCCATAAGTAATCTATTCACTCGGGCCTTAAAGATACCCAGGTTACACTCTTCAGGAAATACAGACTCTGGCAAAGAATTCCACTCCTTAGCAGTACGCACAAGGAAGTTTGCTGCAAAGCGCTTTATGCATGTGTGCTTCTTTTTATCCCACTTATGTCAATTATGTAAGTAATGTGATCTCTGTATTATATGATTAACCTCACAATATCTTTCTCATAAGCGCTATGCTTGGCTTTGAATTTCCTTGGATGAATTGCTTCTAAAACTAAAAAAAAACATACAGTTTAACTTTTTAACTGAACCTAAGACAGCAGTTACGACATTCTACCGACGAAGTATGGTAAATAGAATCTTGTAAAGTCTCTGCATTGGTTAGCCCGCAATGAGCAATATTCCCCAGGTCCTCTGGCACTTTCCCTCACTAACTTGATTTTTTCTAGGCAATTTCCTACTAAAACTGGTTATTCCTTCGATTTTATGGATGAAGTAGGTGGTGGTAGTAAATGAATTTTGCTTTTCTATTTGCTACACTTTACTTTGGACTGAAATTGAAAGAGTATCTATAGTCTACTTATAAGTATTGCTATAATTATTATATATTTACAAGATTTGAGTAGCTGTGGAAAGTAAGCTATTGGCTTTGAAAGCAATCAATATTTATTATTACAATACGAATAATATAACTCGTGAAATGTTAGACAAATTACTTAAAAGACCTTTTTGGGAAATACCAAACAAGATAATATTTCTGTTATGTTAGATACGATGTCGATCATTACGCTTCAACCTATCATGTATGTATTTACTCAGTTCCCGATAATTTAGTTCAACCTAGATGAGTAATCAGACTTATGGCTATCATTCTTATCTCACACCACGATAAGCGAACCAAAACATCTATATCCTCACTGATTCACAAAATTACGTAACATTTTTACATCCTTTGATAGCGTATAAAAAGCTCTAAACTGCACAACCACACTGTCATTAAAACCGCCGCCCACTAGCACACTTTTACATGATCCTAAAAACGCTGGCGTCTATTAACCTTATTTGTTTAAACGTGCAGAGCAAGGAAACGTTTCTTGGTGTTAAAACCAGCTATTTGTTCGTCAGTGAGTGACGACCCTAATACTTCTTTATGGATACCTAATAAAGTGAGGCTGGCATTTTTATCGACATCTACATTATTTACGTGTAGTACAACTGGTAATAAAACCTCGTTTCGATCTAGTTTTCAGGTGTTGCTGAGATTTATTGCCTTTAATTACAAATGTTTTACTAGCCTTCTTAGTTTTATTTGTAGTACCGTCTTTGTTAGATCTTGTTAGAACTTAACTTCTTGACTTAAGTTTTTCTTTAGTTCAAGAAGTCGTACGTGATTTATTTGTTAGTGTCTTAGTTTATAGTTTTTTCTTTGTAAGTTGGAAGTGATAGGTATGTCGTATATCATGTTTATAGTGATAAGTTTTTATATTTAATATGGCATAAATGCATAATATTCATTGCTTATCGTCAGAGTTTTTAAAAAGTTAGACATAGATATTTTTTCATACATAGATCATTGCTAAATGCAGTACAAATTTCTTGAAAAATATGAAATCAGTGTGTTTCTTTATCTCTTGAACATTCTTCTCACTCGAATTTTTAGAGAATATCTAGCCAGCAGGATAAAATAATGCATTTTGTTCAGTACTAACTAGAAGTTAGAAATCTACAATACTTTCACATAATGCCGCGGGGAAACTTTATTCTAACACTCGTCTATGGAATAATAAAACAGTTGCTTTGTATTTATTCTCTTGAAGTCTAGATGAGCGCAATGCATGACCAATGTACATTTCTTACTATGTTTTTCATGGTTCAATTATACAGATAATATTAATCGGTTGAACTAATTAAAGAAGTATTGCGTTGTTCAATCTAGACACGTAAGTTCCAGGTATACCAGGGACTTACAAGGCATAAATCAAGATGTACGTATAAACGTAAATCTTAATTTTAAACCTTATAAAATTTTACAAAAAATACACATCGATGAAAAATCGACAAATATCCGTTTCAAACGTGAATTTATGAGGACGACTTTGTTAATTCTACTTTTTGACATTAAGATTATTTTAAGGATATTGAAAAAGCAAGATTCGTACTCATCATCATCATCAACAGCCTATAAATGCCCACTGCTGAGCAAAGCCTCTTCTCACACGGAGAAGGTTAGAGCATTAATCACCACGCTTGCTCAATGCGGGTTGGCGATTTCAAACTTATAATTAGAAATTATAAGTTCAGGTTTCCTCACGATGTTTTTCCTTCACCGTTTGTCAGTGGTGTCTAAATAATCTTAGAAAGATTCGTACTGAACAACCAAAATTGTTATTCAGAACGAATTCTGAATTCTATAATATAATAATATTCTATTCCGAGAAACAGAAGAAAATTTAATTCTCTCTTGTACAATAAAATTAGCACAATTTACATAACAGGAAATACCAGTTCCAAAATTCTCACGACTTTATCCCATGGGATCAGGCAGAAACTTAATAATAATAATAATGTCCTAATTTAATTGTGTAATAGTGCAAAACATAACTTGAAAATTGAAATTATACGGAATGACTTCTTACAAAATTTAATGAAACATGTCCTACATCCGCAAACATGTAATATATTTTATATATAATATACATATATATAAGATATAACATAAGATGAAACTCGTACATACAACACGTTCGTCAAACATTATACGTGTCGAATTATCAAAGAGTTGAAGCGTGAACCCCGAGAATAATTCCTTCGGAGACGTACGCCAAAACGATCCTAACTTCACCACGGCCTCGCTTAATTTACCACAAAATTGTTCTGCAAATACCTTGAAATATTTTTTTACCGTACTCACGAAATATATATGTATGTATATATAGGTATATATAATGTAATCTGAAATGTTCAGTGACTGTGTGATTTCTAGGATTGCGAGGTATCGCGAAAATATTTTTAGTCGTAAAACGATTTGAAAGCTGATGTGAGAAATATGGCGATGGGAATTTGAAATATTTTATGTTCCAAGGTTACCTAACTATTTATTATTAGTGACCTATGTGGTACTTATTACTTTGTATTTAAAATAATATTTAATGGTTCGTTGACCTTAAGAAAAAGTGTTAAATCGTAATGTCGAATTTGCGAATTTATGAAGGAGGTGACTGGTTGACGATGATTATTTTTATGCGACAATCTATAATTAAGATTACATTTAAGATATAAAAAATATTTTCCACTTACCTATTTAATATTCTGCTTCCATAAAATTATATTCATAGTTTATTTAGTTTTTATTGTACAAGGGTTAATTCACATAACTTTAATTATCACTATATTTTTTATATTAAAATTCCTTCTAAATTAAAATTCATTATTTAAAGTACAGTATTTAATCACTTAAAATTATTGCTATAGTTAATATTTTTACCACAGTCACTTTCTGTTGAACTTAAATCAAAGTTTCAAACGTTGAACTTCGTAGCACTCTCGCGTAGCACATACATTGGCGGTCGTAGCGAGCGTACTCCGTAGCGACCGACTATCAACTGCCGCTACGAGCTGTCTACGCCGTAGTACTCTAGGGCGGGAGCGATGACAAGTTTTTTTCTTTCATGTAGTACTTGGTTTACTGGTGTTTTAATGTATATGTTGTATGCTGTCTACGTATCATTAATTTGAGTGATGCTATTTTTAGATAGACTTTCTTTTCGATTCAGAATTTTACTCTAAGATGAGAAGTATTTTTAATGTCATTTTGGTAACTTGAGTTTTTTGCGGTGAACAGATTTTATGTCAAGGACCATTAGCAGATACATCAAATTCATAATTAAACACAATTGGAATAAAAACTTCTTAATTATGACACGTAATTACCGAAGTCGAATACTAATTACTTTCTTTGTAGCAAGTTAAAGGAATTGAAATTATAATTCTGAATAATAATAATTGAACATAGGTCAAAAATACTTTTCGTAATAAAAAGTTTTTTTTAAGTAACAGGAAAAGATTTTTGTCCTTGAACAAGTAGAATAAAATATTCTTGAAATGTCACTGAGAAGGAAAAATTGAGGTTTTCAATTTAGGATGAGGCTTCACGGTCAGCGAGTTTCACGTCATTAAATTAATTGGATGTATTATTCATTCATAACATCACGCCTTTTATCCCCGAAAGGGTAGGCAGAAGTGCACATTGCGGCACTTAATGCCACACTGTACACCCTCATTTACTATTTATGTTATGAGTCCCATGTAATAGGGGGTGAGTCTATTGCCATATACCGGGCACATTTCCAGATTCCGTGCTACTACTGAGGTTTTTACAAACCCAGTAATACTTTGCCCGACCCGGGAATCGAACCCGAGACCCTTTGCCCGGCAGTCGCACTTGCGACCACTCAGCCAATGAAGCAGTTGGATATATTAACAAACTTCATATTATGTGTCAACTGTTTTAAGTACTTTTCTTTGCACCGTTCATTTATTGATTTTAAAAGCAAACTCGTCAATTCGTAACTAAAGATTATATTATTTATGTGATTTATTCTTATTTCTTTCAATGAATCAATAGATTACATGGTACACCGCATACTATAGTAACAAACAAGAATCTAGAACATTTATTGACCTGAAGAATAACAATAAAGGAATTAAAAGTTGATTGCTGTCCTGTGCCTTGATCAGTAAGCAAGCAGTACTAATATGTGATGAATGATGAACGGAACGATTAATTTTTTGTCATAACCTTCTATAGATGTATTTATGTAGGTATGTATAATAAAGCATGGTAAGTTGTTCCATATACACAGCATATACATTGTGTATGGCACAATTAAAAATGCATGATGAAATTTAAAAATGATAAAAGTTACAAGATTGACTGCAGGGTTGGAACGGTGGCTGGGCAACTCGCTGCCGTGCAACATGTAGCGGTTTCGATACCCACATGGAACAACTCTTTGTGTGATCCACAAATGGTTATTTCAAGTCTGGATGTCATGTGTATGTGAAATTGTATCTTTGTAAACGCACCCACGACACAGGAGAAAATCCTTATGTGGTGCTACGTGGAGCGACGTTTAAAAAAAAATATCTGTTGTCAGCTTCAGTAAACATAATATAACATGTAAGTCCTACCTATATATGTACATACATCCCTACGTATCCCATATATAACAAATTCTCCCAACCTTCACAAAGTCAGTGGTAGGCTACACTTATTACTCACGCCTTCCGGTACGCGGTCGCCACTCGAAAACTTTTCGTTCCCATCAGACATCCGCTCTGCAAGTACGGAGATGTTGCGTTAATATATTATTATGATATGAAACATTCCTACTTTATCATTCCCGTATTACTTGTTTACATGTTTTTGTTTAGAAATTGAATTAAAAAATGATTCGTTCTTGACTACAAAAGTGTTTTTCTTTTGTGAATTCCAAATAAGGTATGTTCGTGTACAAAATCAACTATGACTTGTGAAGACATGTGTATGTTAGTTATTATATTTGTGTATAATGAAACATAATAATTAAGCTAGTTAATGAAAACTGACATTGAGGTGTTTGAAGTTAAAGATTTTTTGGCATACTCACGTATCAAATTATTTGTCACGCTGCTATTGCAGCAGCAGCTAATCAGTACAGTACAGTCGCCGTATTCCTGGTCACGGTATGCTGCGCATGAATATGAGCCTCTAGCATGGCTTAAAACTAGTCGAGTTCATCGTCAAATAATTACGTGAGTAAGCCGAAAAACATAATAATTAATTTAGTATGTCTCACGAAAGTTGTAATATAAAAATTTTTAAAATTATGGAAAAGTATAACATAGGTACCTACTTTTATTATTTTTATTTCATCTCAGAACAAAATAGACATAAAAGCAATTTTTTCTACAAAACCTTCAATCAATAACAAGATAATCATTTTAAGATAAAAAATATTTCATAATTTTGTCTAGTTACCTTCGCGCCTTCATGAATTATTTATAACGCCTTCGATATTTTTGACTAAAGCATGGTTATATTTAACCGCCATGAATTATGCACGACACTGTATTGTTTTATTTTTGGAAATCATTTAATATTGATGAGAAACATTAACTTTTTGGCTGGCAGGTTTATTTTAAAGATAACGTTTTTTTTAATATAAGTACATTCCTATGTTCAGGTATAATATAGACTGCCTCGTATGCAGAGTGGTAGCAAGTACGACTGCCAGGCAAGGCGCCTCGGGTTTAATTTCTTGGCCGGGCAAAGAATTACTGGGTTTTTATAAAAAATCTCAGTAGTTGCACGGAGGTTTCCATTAAGTGCCTTTATGTGCCTAACTCTCCGGGGACAAAAGGTGTGATGATATTATTCGTCAATGTCATGCATGCATGGAGTAAAAGTTGGAACTAAAATGCCTTTAATATTAAGTTCCTGAAGAATTTTGTGAGAAGAATCCTTACTATTATAAATGGGAAAGTGAGTTTGTTTGTTTGTTTGTGTGTTCCGCTTTCACGCCGTAACTTCTAAACCGATTGCTTTGAATTTTTAAAACGTAAAATTAGAAGTCCGGATTAAATAATAGGGTACTTTTTATCCCGGAAAATTTTGGTATTCCTAAGGGAAAACAAAATAATTGGTATAGGCTACAACGCTGTGTGTATTGGTATAGGCTACTTTTATGCTATTGTGACGCGAGCGAAGCCGCGGGTAAAAACTAGTTTATTATATTTTTAAAAATACATAACAATGAATCTTTTAACTGAGCTGCTATCATAATACCAGTGATGACAATATCTATCCCGTTATCAGTTACTTCTCGTTGACGGTAAAACCCCGCTGGCGGTTAAACCCCGCTGGCAGTGTTACCGTGCTCACTAAACACGATGACTGATCACTGGTAGGATTAAATCGTCAGCTGGGACTTCTCACTTCTCAGCTTCATTATAACTTTCTGTTAGCTCGACGACGCTGCTACGTGACGGGAAACTAATCGTCGGCATCTCAATTCGCCGTCACCGAGTTTTATATTAAAAATTTTGACATTTACACAAACGACCCTTAGGTGTAAGACAGTGAGTCCAATATTTTAATGATAAAACTTTTATGGAGTATTTTGAGTGGTGCTTGTAAAATAAAAGTTGTGTTTCAAGTTCGGTTTCCATATTCAAGTGAAGAATTCTTGAAGTCTTTCTTGTCTTGTCGATATATAGTAATGCGAGATGTTACGTGATAAAATAAAAATTGTCTATTTGTTAATTGATTAGAAATCAACTTCGAACATTTTTTATTAAGGGGGCAATCATCGAATCACTGCTCCCGCCTGGGTGAGGCGCGAGGGAGTGTCAGACTCTTACTGACTAAAAACCACCCAGTTCATTCTCCTGCGCTTCGAGCCGGAGCCCCGGTAACCCGTTAAGTTCTCCACGACTTCGAATCGGCAACTTAATGGACATTGGCTTTTCATGGTACCTATGTAGATATAATATAACATTACATCATGCCTTTTATCTACAAAAGGTTAGGCAGAGGTGCACATTATGCCATTGTACAATGTAACACCCCCTATTTATGTTATGAGTCCCATGTAATAGGGGGAGAGCCTATTGCCATATACCGGGCACAGATCCAGACTCCGTGCCACCACTGAGAAAAACCCAGTAATATTTTGCCCGATTCGGGAATCGAACCCGAGACCCTTTGCCCGACAGTCGCACTTGTGACCACTTCGCCAATGAGGCAGTCAGGTATGTAGATATCTTACAGATTAATCGTTTTTATTTTATAGCAGAATAATCGCATTAATTAACTTAAAGTTCTATTTACAAAAATAATACGTACAAAAAGAAAACTAGAACTAAACTTTTTCCTCGACTTATTTTAAAACAGGGTTGAACCGCACTTCGTACTCCAAAATGAACTCATAAACAGGGACCTCACAGTCCTAAACCTACAGTACCTTATTAAAATTTACATTCACTACCTAATTACATACTTTAGTACATGGCATTATTCGTACGATAAAAAATTTATGCTTCGGTCAAAATTTTACTACAGGACATAACAACTTCAAACATTTCGACGTAAAATAGAGAGATATCCGTACTCCCCTCCCCATTTGATATCTGAAGAAAATCTTATGAAACATGACGTCACGTGTGTAATTTCCAGGGAGGATACGATGCAAACTAACTGTATGTTATTAGTCATAAAGTTATTGCGATTCATTTGGCACGAATATGGACTCCAGTTATGTTATTAAGTGGGAATAGAATACTTCATTTATCAACTGACTTCAAACAAGGATGTATGATAATTCTTCTCTTTAATCCGTATGTATGTATGTTTGTGC